TTTCCCATAATTCCTTCTGTAGGGGAGATAATTAGCATTTAATTTTGCCATTTTTGGACAAGGGTGCATTGCAATGAGTGCCACACCTAGACCCCAATACCGACAAAGCCCAAATTTTACATGGAACGAGTTGAGATTATAGGTGACCTAAATCCAAGAGATGGGTATGGAGGCCCTTACCGTCTAGGAGGAGAAGCGGTAACGGTGACTTGGCGGCAGAGCCGCAGGAGCTGGGGGGCGGAACATACGGGTCGGGACTAAAACCATGTGTACCGCCAGCGCCTACGCTGGTGGTACAATAATGCTACCATGAAGAACATATTTTTCCAGTCTTGATAAATAATAAAACAATTTTTAGCCCTAGAAGGTCAAAGGTTATCCAGTTTAAATCATCCAAACTGGGGCAACATTTTACCTTGTCTTCAGTAAATCTGTTCTCTTGATACCCATCACAACTCTGTAAGAATCTTCTAAAATAGATTTCCTTGAGACTTTGATGTCTAATTTGTTAGGCACATTTTCCTGAAAAATAATCAACAACTGAGTAAATAAACCTGACAAATTATCTTTATAAAAAATTGTCACCAAAAGGGCATTTCATACACCTTGGTATGTCATCTTCAAAATGTTCACAAAAATGTGAAGCCTATCTCCATAATAATTCTTTTGATTAAATCTTAACATATAAGGAATGTGACAATATTATAAGTTGTTCTTATATTTGGATCTTGAAATTAATGATATGAAGCATTATCTTCAGAGGAAAATGAAAAGATCTCAAGATGATACAGACAACCATATAAACACATCTAATGTATAACCTGCATTTCAAAATTTAAACCTAATATATATATATATATATATATTGGTTTTCTGCTTTCTGCCTGCCTAAATCATTTTTCTAAAATTCACATATAATTGAGAACTGACTTGGGTATATCAATACTTACTGGTTTGCGTAATTTCGACCTAAAGTAGTCATATTTCTGTTTGTAGTCTCTGGAGTAGGGAACTGCAGGACCTCCCAACCTAGACAGCCTGGGGTCTTCCCACTGGGTCACCTTATTATCTGGAATATATTGATTGATAGATATACTTAAACATTTACAATTTCAACATCTGATATAGAAAACCTTATCCCACTTCATAAAAAAATGGACAATATCTAAGTGCAATCTGTAACCATGATCCTATGCATGAGGGGGGAGAAGCTTAATTATTCTTGAATGTAAACTTAAACTTAACTGCATAACACAATCTAAAACAACAACTTGCTGACATATAAAATGAAGGTCCAGCTAAAATCATGTCTAAACAACTTCAAACCTTCACATTTTCATAGGATTTGCTTACTGTGGTCAATATAAAACACTCTTCCATCAGCATGAATTCTTTCTTCCCAGCCAGGCTGTAAGCATAAAAGAGAATAAGCAGCTTTATTACATAAGTGTCCTCAGCTTTGTAAAAACAGTAAACAGGATTTGTTAACAAAGATATGTTGACCTGAAAATACATGGGAATTCAAAAAGTATTTTCATAATGCTCCAACATAATAGCTTTTTCATAGCTATTTTTTCAAAATATTCCTGTACGTACAGGTAGTGGGCCCAAGTCATGCAGCAGATCAGTACTTGATGAACTCCTCTCTGGGGCAGCGGGTGCTCGGCTTCTCAAACTTGCTCTATTGTTTGATGACCTCCTTGGATCATCCTAAAAAATACAAAAAAGGAAAGAGTTATGGTCCCAATCATTTAAGAGATTGTTGATACACATGTAATTTGTTCCTCTACTCAACATATTTACTTAAAGGGATAATAACTCTTTGTATGAGATCTATATTTCTCAATAAAAACATTGTGAACAACCCATAGAAATATAACATATTCTGTTGTACCACAAAAACGGCAGTTATAGCTATTATGCCGATATCTGAGCTTGTCTTTAGACCACTTGACCTCCATTGATTGCTATACTCTGTTATAATTTCTTATAATTATTATAATTTCTTACTCTGTTATAATTTCTTACGGGATTATAGCAAAAAAAAACAAACTTTTTAGAAAATAAACAGGGACTAACTTTGAATGTAAAAATAGATTCGTTATCTACTGGTAAGTATGGAAAAATTGTTGTTTACTCCAGGAAAATTAATTTTTTGGCCAAAACGACGAGTTATTATCCCTTTAAAAACAGCAATACTACAACAGTTTAAAAGACATTACTCACTGGAACAGCAACTGCATCTTGTCAGTTTACTTACCCACGATGTAGTTCTGTTGTTGTGATCAATGTAAAACACTCTCCCATTGGCTGCCACAGCCTTAGCCCAACCAGCAGGCAATGGCTCGTCATCATCATCATTATCAGGGCTGCCTTGAGCACTTACACTTCTACTTATCTAATTGAAAAAATGCATATAACACGTACAGGATCTATGTTTGTCTGTATAAGACTGTGATTATTATGCTATATTGTGACTTTTTTTCTATTGCACAGCTGTAAAAAAATAGTATGTATTCTGATAGGGTGAAAAATTGTGTGACAGCACAACCTCTGTCTCTAATCAATCAAAAGTCAATCAAGTAATGTCATGCACTGAAGTTTTTATTTGCACTTAACTACTCACTACCATTTCAAAGAAAGCGTATTCTTCACCAGGTATATATGTATCCTTCAGGCCATAATATCTAATCATATTATGATCCTTAATTTTTATGTTGGAATCTGATTGATCCACTTAATCCAAAACTAATAGAAACTCTATCTACACATTTTTTATAATACTATTTTTTTTCTTTTTTACTTAGGGCCTCATAGCAGAGTCTTAATATCCTAAAAGGAATGCAATGCTAACATGACACTTATAATAAGTCCTGTTTATATCACAAAAACAACCTGTCCTTACTCTTCTTTCTATCACATCATCTTCACTGGTGTGGCTTATGGTATCTTCTTGGCTAATGTGGCGACGCATTCCAGCCCAGCGTGCTGCTTCTTCTTGCTGTCGTAATCTAGCATTGCCTTCCTCAGATGTGGCAGGCCTAGGTATGTCAAACCATGAATATATTAGGGCAAGCTGATTATACATAATTAAAAACTGTGAATAAAAAAGTAGGTTTTCTACTGTGGGTGTAATAAAAATCTGTGATCAAGCCCCCTATAAAAATATCTTAGCACATATTTTTAACCATGGGAAAATATATGGGCATTCAAAAGGTTTCTCTAGCTTTTTGAACTTGGGTGATCATATAGGAGAATACACACAAGAATAAAATGGGCATTTCTGCAAAGCCTCAACAAGGCAATGATGTTCAATTATAAATTTTGCTTCAGGAAACCGTCGCTTCATTTTATGACTTATTACTCACATAGTTGGCCGCTCCCACTGGGTAACTCTTGTGGCATGACTGACATAATACACCCGCCCATTTGCATCCACACGTTCCTCCCAACCTGGTGGAAGGGCATTGCCTCTGGACCTGGCATAATACACAAAGACATATGTTTAATACATTCTCATCAGAATAAGCATCTACACAGTTTCTTTGTTCAGTAGTGTTCAAGTATTCAGGCATGAAAATTACTTACAGAGATGGTCTTTCCCACTGTGTTGTTCTGGTAACATGGTTGACATAAAATGTCCTTCCATAGTTATCCTGTCTCTCTTCCCAGCCAGGGGGAAGAGCTTCAGTTTCAACACCCCCAACAGCCCCTTCTTCCAGCTCTACAGATTCATTGTCTACCATCTCCCAATCAGGCTGCAATAATCAAATGAAAAGAAGGTCAAAGGTCACAGTTAGATCGACAGTTTATGGCTTCCTATTCAAGTTCAATAGAAACTATAGGCGTATCTCTGCCAGTTTTGAAGATATAGGGTCCGGAAAATTTCGTAAGTTCAGTTCATGGTGAAAAGTATATTAAAGGTCAATTTCAAGGTCATGGTTAGATTGCCAGTATACGACTTCCTATTCAAGTTCAATAGTAACTGTGGGCGTATCTCTAGTTTTGGAGATATAAAGGCTGGAAACTTTTGTAAGTTTAATTCATGGTGGAAAGTAGGTCAAAGGTCAATTTCGAGGTCATAGATAAATTGCCAGTATTTGACTTCCTATTCAAGTTCGAAAGAGAGTATGGGCCATATCATTTGTAGAGCTTTAACTTCCCGCACAAGGCTTTGGTGACTGAAAGGCCACAATAACAACAATTGTCATTTAGCTATGCTTAAGACACAGTTACTATGTTATATGTGAGAAATTATAACAGGATTTTTAGAAAAATCAAAATATAAATAACATATATAAAGATAAAAGGCAAAAAGATGAATAAATTAATTTAAAAAAAAATAATACAAAGCAATATGCATTTTCAGCCCAATACAGTAACTCAGACACACTTTGATGACATTTGATATAAACATATTACTAAAATCACAGTTCACCAATCTCTCCCTCTTACCTATACATTAATGGGAACAATAATAATCCCACCCCTCATTCAACAAGCCATACTAAACAAAACTCCATTCAATTCTATGTTACAAAGACTCCCCACCTCATTACGGGCTGGTTCTTCTTCATCCTCTTCCTCATCCTCACGAACATATGCTAGGTACAGCCTGAGATGACCACGCACACGCGAACGGGTACTAGGAATTTAGAATCAAATACTTATTTCTCAGATTTATGCAATTAAAAAACAAAATCAATATCTTTTATCAATTTGAAAGCTTATAAACATATCTGAAATCGTCATCATTACTTAAAATTAATTATACGTCATATTCAAAGTAAATTTCTTAAGGAAGAGTAGATAAATTTATGGTATAAAACACTCAATGAAGTAGACTTCAAGAACTTCCTTGGTCTTCTTCCTTCACTGCCCATTTTTATATTCATTTCATTTATTCGCCTAAATTATGGCATTTAGATGTGTTTTTTAAATTATTTAAGAATTTCCTTAAACCCTCACAAATTCATTATCATCCCGTCCAACATGATTGTCTCAATATCTCTTATTTGATGTTTGTTTTGTTTACAGATAATTACATAAAGCACTTAATCTGATACAAAAAAAAAAAAAAAAAAAAAAAACCCCAAGTACATGCAAATAGAGTCATCTGAGAAATCATCTTAATTATCAACAGTCTACGTACCTCCTAGGTCTGAGAATGTAATCTTTGGGTTGCACAAGTTCACGTCCTTCTGTTGGAATGTGAACATGCTGCAGTGGGATCTCAACCACACCCAGGAAATCATCTCGTGTCTAGAATAATAACAGGATAAGGTCAATTACAAAAGGTTAGTGATATATTCTGCTAAGTAAGTCAAATAACCAAAAACTATCTAATCCCTTTGTGCATTGAAAAAATACAAAACCAGGAATAGCATAATAAAAATTTTAATAAATGCACAAATAAATAATTTTTTTAAAAACTTACCACTCTATTCTCATCATATACCTCAAACAACAGCTTGTTTTCCCTAGGGTTTACCTGTAACCAAATATAGTCCCTTAATTGATCAAATTTTATCCAAACTAACAAAGAATTGTTATGTTTTTCTGAATTCTAACATGCTATAACAGATCCACTACAGATCAATCAAAGTCAATTTTAGTTAACATAGTCATATATTTTCTTCAGAGACTTTACTTGTCCATGGTAGAAAGGTAAAAACAGGGTCTAACTACCAGGACCATGTTGAAAAAAATTTGGATAGACATTGCCACTGCAATGTCTTCAAGTATTATTTTTAAAAAGCCCTGAGTAAAGCTATTATGCATAGTTGGTTTTAATTCAAAATTAGTTCTAATAGTGCATTATGCAATTACCTTTGGTATCCACAGATCAATTATATTAAAGATGCATATAAAGTAAGTAGACGTGTAATTATTGCACCTTAACTTGACCATATGCCACAATGCAGTTTCAAATTATACAACTTTGGAGGAAAGTTAAGAACACAAACAGATTAAGTATGTTTATAACCAGCAAGAAGAGATTGTGCAGTTTTAAATTTCTTTTTTTTTCAGCTTATGAAATGATGGATTTGAATTATTTTTGGCATTTGGATTTAACATGACTTGTGTGAGAAACTGATGGTAGTCATTTGTATGTGTTAATGGGAATGTTCACAGCTGTATTCTCACTTATGTACCTATAAGGATAAGTATTTTTTCATCATAAATGAGAATTTCTTGATGACTTAGCAAAAAATATATATATAATCTCAGCTTTATCTCAGATAATCAAATGAGCAAATGATTTTGTCAGTCTCACAAACACATTTGAGATGATAAGTAAGGCAACCATCAAATACTTACTCTGAACACAAACTCTTCATACCATTTTGGGTTCAGTGTCTAGAAAAAAAAAGATGTCACATTAATATTTCTTTGATTTTACCTGTTATAAAAATATTTTAGTTGGTTTTCTTTAATAAGATGCATCTCTTCACAACCCAGGTCTCAGAAGTCTGTAAGAGACTTAAAACTACTTGAAAATTTTAATATTTAGGTATTTATAAACACTATTATATCTTAACAGTTTACTCTTATTGTACCCAGATATTCAGATTCTTGCAAGCCATCCTGTCAACTAGCAAGGGGTTCACTGTTTTGAAACTTTAGCAGATCTGCATTCAAGTCACCACAAGTACAAATCCTTGCTACACTTTTATGACAAGTGACTTTTGTAAAATGTATGTGGTCTTATCAAATTATGTTCTCCAATTGAATGCACTTACAAAGGTCAGTTTTGCATATCTTGTTTCCAAATCATTTACTAACTTTTTTAATATATCATCTTAATATACTGTGCAAATGTGAAAAGCTTTTTTACATTATTTTATCCATATATCATCAAAAAAATACAAAGATATGATTAAATATCACACCATGATAACTCATTTTTCATATTAATAAGGATTAATACCTTAAGTAAACATTGCACGGTTTGCCTTTATTTATTTATTTTATTTTATTTATTTATGTTTTGCAAAAAAAAAAAAAAAAAGATACACCAAAATGCTTGGGTAAATAACATCAATAAAATATCATTTCTGACACTTTATGTAGAATTATGGCACAGATTGGAAAAAATCTACACTTCTAAAATTCCACCAACACTTTTTGTCAACAGAGATTGTGCTTATTACTACAGAAAACATGTTCAGGATGCTACACACATGGTACAGGGATAACTAATTAGTAGCCCAGCAAATGTTCCTATTTAATTTGCACGGCAACACTTGCCAACAAGACAGACTGAAAATCAGGGTATATAACTGTTAGCTATTACAACTCTCAAAATATTCAACTATAGATCAATCATTATTAAATGTACCTTTTTGATAGTCTTTGTCTGTATGGAATCTAGTTCTGTTCCACTCTCTTTGGTAAGGATCACACGTACATAAGGATCACTGTAAAAAAAATATATGAAAACAAACAAATAAGTAGGCCAGGAATTTTGTTAATTAATAAAAGAGGAGTTCTTTGCAAGAGCAAGTGGAATTCTTGGTCTTTTAAAAACTTCTTGAAATAAATTCAAAAATGCTGCACACTTTCATGTATTACAGAATACCAATAATGCAAATGACTTGCATGATTTCTTGAGGATATTTGTTCCTTCAGTTCTCACATGGAAGTGAAATTTTATAGCACAGCTGTATCAGTGCAGACCAATTTCATTGTACAGAAAACATTTAATAAGTGTTTAGGACATTGTAAAATTTCTTTAGATAAATGACATTTTTTTAAGAAAGCGATACTGCAAGAACTGACCAAAATGAATTTTCACTACACTGTCTTAATCTCTCAAAACAACAGCAAATCACTGACAGACTTCATCACACAGTAGGGAAATAATAGGGAAATCATAAGTTTTTTATAATCTGCTTCAATATGTAGGATGCTCATATTTATTTCACTTTGAAAATTAGCATTGATACGTGAAATATGTTCAGTTATGCCTTATGGCTGTATTCATTTAACATTCTTCAGTTTTAATTTTTACTTAAATCAACATGGCACTAAATATTGAAAAGCAGGGTATAAGGTTACTGGATGGTAGTGATCAGTATTTTTCTGCCCTATGATGCTTAGGAACATCAGTAATCAGTGTTTACATATCCCAATGATCAACTATATATTTGGTGGTAAATGGTAATACATGATTTCAATGGCAGGTGGGAGAGGGGCAATCAAGTGCTTACTGTAATAATGTCTTCTTCCTGAAATCAGATAAATTATATGTATGTGTGGGTGTGTAATTTTACATCATACTTGATACAATGCAATGCAATCCAATGATCTGTGAATACTAAACAAACTTAAATTTGCACATATAATACACATGCAATTTTCTTATAGGGTCAGCTTTGGTGTGACCGTGTCAAGGTAGCAGTTTCAACAAATGTAACGGCTGAACAGAAAATGCTAGCTCTGTTTTAAAGAGTCAGCAGCATATTGGGTATCACAAAGTGTATATGTGTGTTAATGAGGGCTCTCTCTATATATATACACATAAACCAGCTGTGGCAAGCACCTCAAATCATCTGTAGTGATAAGCTGTTATATTTAAGTTTTGATCATTTACATCAACGTTTTTTTCTTATCTGTGGTATTTCAAGGAAAAAGGTATTTTAAGTTTATCAGACATAGGGAAACTGCCTGTCCAAGAGGTCATGATGGTTTTAAAAGCCAGAGGACCCTCAAGTTTGATATAGCAGGTCCTCTGGACTGGCAAGGCTTTAAGTGAAAAAATAATACATAATAAATCATATACATGTATAAAAATAAACTTAAGAAAATTGAAACCAAAATTCAAAGTTTTTAACTTTAAATGAGGAAAATGTCACTCAGACTTGAATGCTTTTTTTTTCATTGAATAAAAATAAAAAATAAAAGACTATAAAGACTTAATCAGCCTGCTGTTCAATACCTGGCTTATGGTATTTACAACCCCTTGGAAGCATTGACCTAGTTTGGACCTGCACCAAAAATGGGAGGCCTGCAGATTTCTTATAGTGCAGGCCCTCAGGACCTTAATTACCTTCAAAGGTTTCCCCATGTTTTGTTTTTATTCTAGATTTAAGACCCAATTCCCATAGACACCATTGGTCTACATAGATCGACCCAACTCCACAGGCACTCACTTCTTGCAGTCAGCTTAACTGAATGACATGCCTCCTCTTGTTCCCAATATATGTGTATTATCACCAGCTTTTCTCTACTCTACTTAACACCAGGAGGCATATTATGTAGTTAAGCAGACTGCAGTCAGTGACAGTATCTGCAGATTTAGGTTGATCCACGTAGACCAATGGTGTCTATAGGAATGTGGCCTTTGTCTATAATTTTATTTTGGGACAATTTCAATTCTTGCAGGATTGCCTTTATTTAGTTTTAAAATTAGAATTCTTGCAACAAGCAGCCATAGGACCAAAAAAGAATCCAATTTAAGATATAAAAGACAAAAAATTGAAAGACCTTCACAAATGACAAACTGTGCCAAAGAAATGTTTTACTAAACATTATATAACATTATTATTTCCAACTGTTTATTTGTTGTTTATTTTCAAGTTCAATGAGAAACAATAGGGCGGTAAGGCTGGTAAATAATTTTAACCTAATTCTGTCTAAAACTTGTATAGATATTAAAATGTTGTAATGGGACCTCGTGACTCGGCTTTCTCACCTTGCACCAAAAATGTCTTTCTTGGCTAAATTGATACCAGATACAACCTTTGTCCGTAGAAGCTTAGTATTTGAATGGCTTCCCTGTAAAAAAAAAGACAATCGTTTCATAATATTATACAAAAATATCCGAGATATTTACTCCCTTCACGAAAATTTACGTTCTCCGTGTAAATTTTCAACTCACTCACTGCGTTTCAGGTGGATACTCAATTTTAGAACGCATCCAAAAACCAGTATCGTCTTAATTACAGGGGCTTATTTGATAAAATTGCAAAGTGAAGTACTTACGGAGATCTCCTCCTGAAGTCCTCGTATGTTATTCATGTCACAACACTCATTTACAAACAATATATGCGTTGTGAGCTTAACTTCTTCCCTCTCCTATCCCTGCCCGTGTTATGACACATAGAGCGCAAGTGCACTGGCCTAGATTCAACTATCCCGGATGTTGCTCAATATTTGTTAGTCTTCTGACGCAAAAGATTTTGTTTACGTCACGTGGCCAAATCCCAAAATGAGTCGGAAACCCTGCATCGGCAAATAATTTTTCAGATTTTTTGACTTTTGTTTTTGAAAAAAGTCTAAAATAAGAAGTAAATTGAAACAAGAGTGATTTTTTTCGAAATTATTTCCCAAAAGTTGCATGTACAAGTAAATTTAGTTCAAAACACTACTGCTTTTTCAGAGTTACAATGTAAGTTACAATTCAATGTACATGTCACATCTGATCAAATTTTTAATATAATAGTGCAACATCTCAACAATTGAAGTTATTCAAGTGTCTAGATTGCATAAATGTAAAATCACAGCACAGGAANGGGTAATAAGAATATTGAAGCTTTTTTAATTGCGAGAATATTTCTGACTAAATGATGATTTTATTATTAATGGAAATTAAGCTGCAATGTGTGGTACATATGCTGTAATTACGCTGTCCTTCATCTCTTGCGTTAGTCTACATTTTGCTGGGAATTAAAAAAAAACCGTGCGTACAATTTTTAAAGGTCTAGTTACGCCCCTGTAATAGTGCAACATCTCAACAATTGAAGTTATTCAAGTGTCTAGATTGCATAAATGTAAAATCACAGCACAGGAATGGTTTGTAGACATACAAATGTCGTCATTCATGTTGCCTATCAAACAATATAACTATCCCCAGTATGCAAACAGAAAAAAAAACTTCAATACAAATAAAATATCTTCATCCAGTCAACAGAAAAGTGTCAGGAAAACATGTAATTTACTGTGTTATAAGCTGTTTATTGTTTATTACATTTTCCTTTTTTTTCAAATCATCTTGTCTGTATATAAAAATCAATGAAATACCAGTACACATGACAGGGATTCTAATACTGATATGTACAATGCACAAGAATAATATAATGCTGTGTGTAGTGTTTCACTTTAAATCACTTTAAATCTAAAAGTTTAGTGTACAGACACACATTCTACTTGGGAAGACAACATTTTACTGGCTGGCATATGAAGCAGTTTCAATAACAAAACTAAAAAGCTAACAGAAACAAAAATATACTAGTAAATGAAAGCAAACAAAATTGAGTCAAATTTCAACAATACATTATTTTGATCATCTCTATAATATCACTTAAAAAATAAATACTGATTGAACGGTAAGTTAAAGTGTATTTATCAGAATTATCCAAGATAACCATAAGTATAAAATTAGTATACTAAGTATTTATTATATTTAGTATAAAATGAAGCAAGATTTGCAGGATTTGGAAGAAAATGGAGCCACAAATAATGGCAGAATAGCAATTGCAGTGTGTCAGTGAATCAAAACTGACAGAAAAGAATCCATTGACATTTTCAGGTAATTTTTTCTTGAGTTACTGTATCTTGAATTTCTGCACAATAGTATGAATTCACCATTTTTTGTATCACTTTTACATTGCTTTCTAAGATGGCATTCCCAGCACAAAGGGTTTCAACCTGATAGTGAAAAAGTTGGCCCCAACTCACACAGATTCCTATCCTTTTTCTAGTCTCATATGAGAAGATGATGATGATTCCCATTCTATTTCAAGTTAACACGCCTGGAAACTAGAGGATCAGAGAGGCGATACCGCCTCCGGATATTGTATGACTTTCAGTCAAACTTCTATACTTATTTTTCCCATAATTCCTTCCGTTTAGGAGATATATAGCATTGAATTTTCAAAAAAATTTGACAAGGGTGCATTTTATGGTGTGTCACGCCCAAGCGAATGCACCGACTGAGACAAAAAAAACCAGGGGGTTCAAGTTGAGACTATATGTGACCTAAATCCAAGAGATGGGGAGACAGGTCCGTGTGGTCTAGGAGGAGAAGCGGTAACGGTGACTTGTATCCCACGCCACCCTGCGGAGCTGGCGGAGCTCACGGAGCCGGCAGAGCCATACGATACGGGTCAGGACTAAAACCATGAGTACCGCCAGCGTACACGCTGGCGGTACTAATAAGCTGCACAGTAACAGTGCCCAGTACAATATTCAGAAGTTTGATTAACCATTTTAGGTTTAAATCCTATTGTCTCCTTTCGCAAAATAAATTGTTAACAAAAATTATTACAAAACTTTAAACATAAGGTAATCAGATAAAGGAATGTGCAATTTTTACTTCATAAAGCAAAAATATCAAAAACCATATATTTAACATGCATTTGTAAATAATTATTGGAAAAACCTATCTGACCAACATTCATTTCATTGAAACTTGCAAATAAACAAAATACGTATAAAGAAATGATAATATTCATAAGCTAATGGCTTAATCTTTTCAATGTAGGGGGGGGGGGGACAGTGGATTTTACTGGTATTGTATTTTTAAGTCATAATTTCTTTAAATTAAAACACACCTACTGAGTGGTAGCAACAAAATGGGAAAGGAGGCTTCCTTACAGATCCATTTTATGCAGTGAAAGCAGCATAAATGCTATACAGAAATATAATTTTTATGATTCTTAAATTATGTATTTGAAAGATCGATAAATTTTGTCCACTGAAAATATTAAGTCGTTACCATATTTACTTATGTTATTCAGCATTCCCCACATTCAAACAATATTAAAATCATTCCAATTTTTTCCTTTTAAGGAACTCCTTCATCATTTCATTGACAACATCTGGTCTCTCTTGCTGAGTCCAGTGGCTGCAGCCATGGATGTACTTCAAGGTGTAGTCAGTGTTGTATTTGCGGGCCAGCTCTGGTAAATCCTTGTGCAGGGCTTTGTCAGCATCCCCCCATATAGTAAGTACTGGTACTGTGATCTTGCCAGACCCTTCTCTCTTACCTTCCCTTGGCTGTGCTTGCTGCCAAATACTTGTCCTCATTGAAGCCCGATAATAATTGATGGCTGATGTCAATGTATCTGAAATAAAACTAGGAGGATGTTTTTTTGTGTTTTTAAAAAGGACCATATTTTCAGAACCATACTGTCACTTTTAGAAAATAGCATAATTTAACATCATGGTCATAATCTATTGATACTTCTGAAATATGCTTTGATAAATAAGATAAGTTGTGAAATGAAATTTATTTTTACTTGTATGGGCAAAGTTCAATAAGATTTGATTAGATCAAAGACCATGAAAAAATGGCAAATCATGTCAGATTTGATACAATGCAATGGAATGTTATACATTCAAATACATTTTATTCCATGTTGGTAGAAACTGATATACATGTATCAGCCATGAAGCTATTTACATAAAAAGAACTGCAAAGTTCTAAAATAATAATACTAATTATATCTAATTAATCTTGAATACTTAAGGCAACCTGACATATGCAAAGCTGTAAATCCCAATGCCAATTTAGATTACAATGATTATAAAAACAAAAACTAAAGAGTACAAAATGCATTTGGCATCAAATTTTGATTCACAAAGACAACTCTTACTTGGCTGTGAGAAGCAGTAAGTATATGCTTCAAGGTCCTCAGGAGTCATACTTCCAATAACTTTACCATCTGCTCCTCTGAAAGACTTTTGGAGGATATCATAGTCATTGTGGCTGATTAAAAACTCTGGAAACCAGGGAAGTTGGAAAAAAAATATGTACCTACAAATAAAAAATGGAAATTATGAGGATATATTTGGCTTAATATCACAAACGTCACAAAATGGAACAAACCATGTGATAAACATGAAGACAGTCTTATCATCAAACATATCACAAACTGACAAAGCATTATGCTTCTGGTATTTCACTTTAACTGCACCTACCAAGACATAAAAAGCTGCTTTTTGTTATGATTCATAATGTCAGCAAAAGCCTTTCTATGGGGAGCATTCATGGTGATCAGTTTATCCACCATGTCTGGGTATTTCTCAGCAAAGGCCCATGCTATAACACCTCCCCAGTCATGTGATACCAACACACAAGATTCATAACCTGGAATAAAATATGTTTAAAGAAACATCTTCAAATATTTTAATGTTAGACTGGGTCAAAACTAAGACGCTGTGTAATAAGAGAGCAACTTAAAGCAACACTGTCTTTTATTTCCACAAAAAAAATAAATAAATAAAATTAAGCTAATAAAAAGCATTAGATTTTATCCAAAAAAAAAATAGTTGAAATATTAACAAAAAATTGTTCTGTCATAGCTCTTAATTATAAAAGTAGAGAGAAAAACCCTCACCAAGAGCAGGAATGAGCTGCTTTATATCTCCTGTTAGTTTGTCCATAGTATAGTCAGACACATTTGGTGGTTTGTCGGTTTCCCCATAGCCTCGCATGTCAATAGCAACACACCTGAAGACAACAACACAGGAGAGTGACAATAACATCATATAGGAATGCAACCCTTAAAGTTTTCACTTGGTAGAAAGCAACTGAATGCACAGAAAAGGAGCAACTGAAACTTGATAACTGATTGTAAAAAATGGACTGCTTGTTTTTTTTAGTTGTTTCCACATATTTTTTCATATTTAATAAACATGTTTCAGAAAACAACATCTTTAATCCCTTTTGTTTAAAATGTCCCATCAATTGAAACAAGCCAATATACTGAGTATAATATGTACCAGTATTTTTTTCATACTGTACATAGAGTCAACGGTCAATTATGTTTTTGTTTGGAAGAATTCAAGCAATATATTGAATCTCTACTGGATAATAAGCTCTTTACCTACCTATAATCTTGGCCGAACTCCCTCAGCTGATGTCTCCAAGAGTACCACCCTTCTGGGAAACCATGAACAAACAACATAAGAGGTTTGCCTTCCTTACCATTAACTACACAGTGCATTCTTAGACCCTAAACAACAATCAAAGTAAAACAATAATGTAATTAAGCATGAAACATGCATGATTACTTTTTTCAACACTGTTTGTATTATTCAAATTCAATGTTTTCTTCGATCATGACAGGAACTGGTCAAATATTTAAGCCTCTATCAGCTTGACAACATACTGTACTAGTAATACTAGTATTATAGACCATTAAACTGTTTTGGTAACATTTGTAAGAAATTGGAGGCAGCAGCATAACTGGACAGACAGAAAAAGATCATATATCATAGATCAGTCGTATTTTCCCCAAAACATTCTATTCTGATTATTGGTTACAAAACGAAAGTGATACATGCACTGAGCGTCATAATGGAGCTACAGGAGTTAAGTGCCTTTATTACATTTCAAACATGTTACTTCTCAACATACTTTGCAAAAGATAACGTTTATATCACTCTATATGTGTATAGCTCTCACATCTGACAAATGACAATCTACAACATTGATCAAAGGTCACCTGCAGTCTGACGTATGTGTGGGTTCCAAGGCTAGGGTCGTTCAGGCATGCTGGTTTGATCTCCCTTCTCCTTCTTTGAAAAAATCTTATTGGACTACTCATGAACCCTTTCAATAGAATCGGCAGTACAATAACTACTGACCAAAATGATGCTATCGTATACACGACAGCAAACCCCAAGAATACTTTAACAGCAGTGACAACACCCATTCTAAATGAATAGACTCTACACCTCCGACCCACTTGTTGGCCTTTCAGGAGATGAGGCTAGTAATTCTAACTGCCTGCAGAGGTCAGCACGTAATTGCAAGAGAGTAAAAACATGCAGAAATAACGGCAGACTTAACGTCTTATTAAAAATATAACCGTTTTAAAGTATATTTGCTGACTGATAAAGCTCATATAATAACATTAAATGTGGAATGCTATCAAATTGAATATGTGTCTTTTCTTGAGATAACGTCTTCATTAAAGAGAGAGCAGAAAACAAGCAGGTTGTTGAAGGAAACAGTGTCGCAATGGAAGGGGAACTCGCGACCACGGCTAGTTCTACAAATGCTGTTATTGTAAATGGGAACATTTATTCATTATCTTCGCTTCCTTCGGAAGGTGAGAAAACGGACTTGGTATCTGACAAGTTAGATCCTTCTAATGCCACAGGATTTATACAAGACGGTGGGGTTATTATGGAAACTCCCAAGGGGTGAGTAGTGTGCCAATCATAGAAGTGCCAAGTAGTACTCAGTGAAAAGACCCTTTTAGACTGACACTTGTATAAGTATATTTTAACATTTTATTAATGATTAATACATTTGCGTATATGTCCTTTGGGGAGTTGATAAAATTACATTTAACAGTCCATTTTTCCGTTTTAATTCTTGAATTCTAACGAATAAAAATAAAACGGCTGCACATCCCATGGGACAGTGTGTCACAATAACATAACTCACACGTGTGCAATGCTGTTTTAAGTTTTATGATATGTATTTTGTGTGGTAATGGACGGAAGTTATAGATGCAAACAACTATAAAATGACAGTCATCTTCAGTGTCCACCATGATGTGGGAGTTCTAAATCTCTTTGTTACCTCCTCAAGTTGCACATTGCAGGAAAGCCATCCAATTTTTGACAGTGCTATAAATAAATATGTGTAACTTATCAGCACATCTACCAGTCATGCCACTGTAAAATCATACACTCATTAAATACCACTACAACCAGACTTCTATATGCAAGAAGTAAGTCAAATTTTGTTTTCTACTGGTGTGAAGAATTGCGTATGGAATGTAAGTTGCTTGGCCCTTTCAAATTAGAAATTCTGTTTTTTGGTGGGTAAACAGTTCCTGGTATAATTCTTGCATTTTGATGTCAGTCAGTGGTGGTCCTCAACAGGGGTAAAACTTGCCAAAACTAGTAGTGGTTGGATGGTAGAGGCAAGAAAAAAAAAGAAAGAAAGAAAATAGAGTCCTGGAAATGGAATCACTTCACAAAGTGAATGCTGGTGCACAATTATCTAAAACTATATCTTTTACAGTAAATTTCTAAAATTACAAGCTTTTTTTTCATGCTTATAGGGCATGGGGCAGGAATCTGACATTTGTTTATTATATGCTGTATCAAAGAGATTATTTATTCATTGCCTGTTTCTTTTAGGTTAGTCTGGGTGAATGTTTCTGATTTAGTGAATGCATATGGGAACCCTATCAACAGTGTAGATTTACAGAGTCACACAGGTGAGAGCTCATCAACATTAATATGCAAAGGTGTCAGCAAGTATTTGTTTAATAGAACAACAAACCCAAATTTTAAACCATTTTGTATAAGCTTCTTATCACTCCTGTAAACAGTAGTTATTTGATCTAATTTTAACTGATCTTATGCAGAATCACTTTGCTGATTTTCTGTATCATTAAGCCTAAGATTTATACTCTAGATAAAAATTTCATAAAAAGATGTTTTTTTATTATGAATAACTCTTTTAGTTTTTTTTTTTTTTTTTTGGTTTTGTTTTGTTTTGTTTTGTTTTTAGATCTGTTAGATCAACAGCAGCAGGATGTTCTTGATGAAGACCAAGTAGCCAAAATAACAGATGTTCACAATGATATTAACTCTGGACTCACACTAGATAACCCTCTACAGTTAATAACATCTGGGACAACAGTTCCAGTTGCTTTAACAGTAGTGACACCAAAATCTGCATCTTCCACAACATCAACAACTGAACCAATTGAAGGAGAACCAAAGGTACACATTTTTGTTACTCGTATTGGAGACCTCTTTGCTTGGCAGATGCCACTTTTTTAATTGAATATGTTGATATTTTTTTCTGATTGTGCCAAGATGAAATATGAATCCTTTGAATTGCATGATGGCAAAATGCATTTCATATTTGCAAATTGATACAAACTTGATTTTTCATAGACATTTATTTTCATTTTCAGAAGCGGAGAGGTGGCTGGCCAAAAGGAAAGAAAAGAAAAAAGGATCTAGGAGAAAACAAAGCACCCAAGGCACCAATTACTGCGTAAGTAATTTTTGTTAAAAGACTATTACTATTTGTGGATTTGGACATGCTAAAGAACACTTTCTAAAAGCAACTTTTCTATTGACATATTTATATTATGGAAATAGTATTTTTATTATTGACATATACATCTAAATTGTCATATACATTTTGTAGCCTTCTTGCATTTTATATCATTGTTCCAGCTATGTACTATATGCCATTGAGAGAAGACAGGCAATCAAAGCCAGTAACCCAGAGATTCCATTCTGTGAAGTGACTAAAATTCTGGGTAATGAATGGTCTTCAATGTCACAGGATGAGAAGCAGGTGAGGGATCTTTATTTACAAGCCTGTGTATCACTGTGCAGTAAAAGTGTTTGTTCTATAAGTGCCAAACCATGCTTCTATTTTAGTGGAAATGTTCACTTTTTACTGAAATGACTCAGATAATTTTGTCAGAAAGCATGTGATATTTTTCATCTTAACAGCTTTTTTTTAACAGAAATATTTTGAAGCAGCAGATAAAGACAAGAAACGTTATGTTGAACAACTGAAGGCATATCAGCAATCTGAAGCTTTTCAGACTTATCTGAGGAAAAAGAAAATAAGAAGTTTGGGAGGTAAGCTTACAAAAAACATTAGCAATGAACACTTAAAAGTTCTTCTTTTTAATAAAAGAGATATCAGTGATTTGAAAGAATGATGATTTGGTTCAGAAAAAAATAAAAATATGAGCACCTAAAACAAGTATTAAAAATGTTGTGAAGTTTGTCACATTATGACAAAAATGATTTACTGGTCAAAGTATAAGCATGCTTATTGAGCCGAATTTTGGAGGTAAATTGCATTGTTTATGTATTTCATATTATACTGACAAAAAAAATTACAAATGGTTTTAACTAAATATTTCTGATTTGTGTGTTTGATATTATTCAGTATTACTGGAAAATAATGGGTGATAAAATTATTCCAGATATGGAGGTTTCCCCAGAAATAGATTCCACCATAATGGACTTGGAGGTAATAAATGCCACAGTATTACACAAAAAAAATGAGACAGATGCAAAATTCCCAGAGACAATCGTACTAACTTTGGATCAAACTATCTCCAAGGGGATTATCGCTTAATTGCAATTAACTTGGTCGGTTTAGATGTCTGTCATGCTTGCTGAGGCTGATAGGGGGTAATTAACTATCGTTTAGCAGCTTTAGTGGGCGTCTCAGACGTCTTAGCCGCTTGGGCTGAAAGCAATTTAGCGCGGGACCCATGGAGATAGACCAATCCTGTTAGATTGATCTAGGGATAGGAACCCAGTCTTACATGTGTTAAGTGATTGAAGCAGTAAGGGAAAATTAAAATCTTTATTTAGATATAAATATATTTTTAAAACAAATTTGTACTCAAAGTCTATTCATAACCATACAGTCTGTAGTTTCTTTTTAATTATCTGTTTGTTTGCACACAGGAAGAAGACCCAAATGAGCTGTATTGCAAAGTTTGCAACATGTATTTTAGTTCATTGCACAACAAAAAAGAACACATGTTTGGCAAGCAACATCTGCAAGCTATAACTGGTAAGTAATAGGTAGATATTTAATCACTTAATTATGAAAGTATAGTAAATGAACTTTTAGTTCACTAAAATTTATCATGAAGCACTCATTCAGGTATATTTTATAGGTGAATTTGAAAAGGAACTGCAGCAGCAGCAGACAGAGTCGGAGACTCTGGGCTCAGAGTTCCTTTCTTCTGGTTCAGACCAGAGTCTCCTGACGTCTTCCCCTCCACGCAGCTATGGGGCACAGAGGCAGGTCGACATAGATGGCTTTATGCAGGAATTTCTTGAAAGAAATATAGGTGAGTGCTATATGCTTTTTTAAAAGTTCAGAGACTCCCATTGACTTGCCTACCCGATATCAGAAATATGAGGTACTCCCACCAGTTCAAAGATACCCATGAAAATTAATTTTGTTCAAAATGATCCTTTTCTTTCAGGTTATGTATACATACTCCTTTTGATAACATACTTAGTTGACTGCATTTATATATGCAGTCTCAATTTTACCTCAAACAAAGTCACCTCAAACAAGCTAAAATGTGTACAAAGTATTTGTGGAGTTGTTATGACTACTCACGACCACTTCCTTTTATGCACTGAATGAATCAGATTATCCTGGCAATCGTTGATATTTTTTAAAGATGCATTATTCATGTTGTTGGAGTGAACATTGCTGTGATTTTTTATGTACAGACACAGATGTGTCTGTACATATAGCCATCATCTGCGTCTGTCGTCGTCGCCGTCGTCGCCGTCGTCGTCGCCGTGCACTTTTACCGATAACACGATAAGTGGAAAACCATTTTACCTTTTGACTTGAAACTTGCAGAACTGATGAATATTCATAATACGCAGGTCAAGTTCGAAAATCAGCATGATCGGGTCACTTTTAGGGAATTTATGCTGTTTTTTATGNTTTTTTGATAATTTCTTTCAGTGCTTTAACCACCCTCTTTGCCTAGTTGTCATTGAATTGTCTTTCAATTCCCTTGTTCAAAGTCTGTATATGTGTCCTCCTTGATGTCTGGTTTATAAGTGCTGGTCATTTTATCATTTTAGAAAGGGAAGGTGAAATTAGACAACTGAGAAAATCTCTTGCAGCAGCCAAAGATCAAAACATGGCATTATTTCAAAAGGTTCAGGAACTGAAGGTAAAGAAAGATGTGTTTGTTTTACATTTACGGACTTTTTTTATTGTAAATATGTGAATTATTTGTAAGATTTATAAATTTTGATACTGTCTTATCAAAGATTAAAGTAAAAGGGATGAAATAGTTTGATAGAATAACGAGTGATTATTAAAATTATCGAAATTAATGTGTTAACAGGCTCTTTATAGAATTTTAATTTACCTTGCCATATCTGGGGAAAATCGGTATATGTAGTTGAACAATCTTGACCTAGGCTATGTACTAGTATATATGACCTTGGCTATATAATATATAACAGAAATATTCTATTAATTTTTCTGTTAGGAACTGGACAGCAAATTAGAACAAGACTCTGGCAATCTCAAAGCTTATGGCGCAGCTCTAAGTGCACAAATAGACGGCTTGAAGATGGTCCCCACATTGTTTGGTGTGATCAACTTCTGAATGTAGTGCAATTTTAAAAATATGGTGCTCACATACAATTTCTGATGTACATAGTGAAAATAGTTTTGATAAAATATGAACTTGGTTGAATTTTCCCTTTCTTAAATTTTGAATAAAAGGTTAGAGCAATAACATCTCTGTTAAAATGCAAAGATTTCTGCTACATGTATTCTGCATAATAAATTTTGTGATCATGATGAATTTCTTCAAAAATTCCACAAAAGAAAAAAAAATAATTTGAAGATTTCACCTTTCCATTTTACCAGCATATTAGTATTTTGTAATACTCAGACAACTTTACGGTAATCCACTGTTTCTTTGTTTACAATGTTACCTTGGGTTTACAGATGAAGACTAGTCATTGATGGGACCCGTTGCATTTTAAGGCTGTGACTGAGCACAAATGGATGCCAGAAGTTGGCACATGAATGTACATTCATTCGCATACTTGAAAAATTAAAGCTTATGAATATTTATACTTTCATCTGTGGCTTATTGAATTACAACAGAATCCTCATCTCAAATTGAATTTGTATGAATCATCAAATCTGAACCCTTTCATGATTACAGTTGACATTGAATCTTATTAACTATTAAAGGTCATTTATTAATATAAGTGGCATCATTCTTCAGTTACCTCGTGATACAGTTGGTGGCATATGAAAACCGCTGATTATTATTTTATATACATATATCATGGGCCTTCTTTTCCCATCCGCAGAAAGGATTCGAGTATGTGAAGTACAGTACATCATTCGCCAGGAACGTTCCTCCTCTCATTCAGTAGGACAAGGGACTGATCTGAATACGTTGTGGAAGTTGCAATGGAAATGTTCGTCAAAATATTTTAAGGCTTTTTACAAATTTGTTGAATTTAATATTTAATGTAAAGAATACGAAAACAACTAGGGATGTGCAGTGTGTTTAAGAAGTTAATCTAAAGCGAGAATAAACGACCAAAAAGAGAATGACCAAATTCTGCTAGATTTTGAGGTGAAAATTACTCATTGTGGCACGTTTTTTTTAGGGGAAAAATAACTGCAGCAGCAATAACACGACCTGCTCTTAGTGATTCAATTAAACAAAAAACAATTTAAAATGCGGAATATAGAGTATATTTATAGCATAATTATTTCACTTTCACACCAGAGAGTAGAACCTATACCAAATACATGAATATTAAAACAACAAACGTTATGAAGAGATATATGATAAAGAGAAGCTAACATCAAATTTATAAATGCAAAGCACGATGAAAAAGTTAATTTACAAAAATGTTAATTGGCATTTTAACAAATATATACAAAAATTATAAACGATTGTTAAAGATAAAGACAGCTGTAGAAAACTTTACCTAGTACAATTAAAACGTGATTATTAAACGCATCGGTGTGCATCAGTAGATTTTTTAACAATAGCGTTTTCACTTTCGTCGGTAATGTCAAATCCTACATTATTTTAGTCCCGTGCCCAAGGCATACAAAACGTGGATTTAGCAAATCAAATATTTGGACCTAAAGCACAATAGTTAAAATGTGAAAACGTTAAACTGAGATACGCCTGATCAATGTGCTTCTACGTTACATCAGTATTGATACACATGGAATCTAGTTACACTCAACACTGTCCCACTGCTCATCGTTTTAAATTCTGGACACCGTTTTATTTTCCTGGGTAGGAGAGTATATATGTCCAATTTCAACCTGCGACGTTAATTGCAAAAATAGCAGTTTTCTTTAACAGGTTGATAGCAATCCGTAGGCGCAGGTGGCCTCTCTGTGATGCTGTGGTCCATTGTGTCCACATACTGAGGTACATCAAAAACTGCCGTGGTGTCAAAATAGTTCCATGGTTTTAGCCAAAACCCGGTTTCTACGCGAGCTGTCATCGGGACGTCCTCTGATGTAGGTACGTGTATAAACCCAACGCTCACCCAGGTGATAAGATCTTCATTCACGATGTTTTCTCCATCTAACATCCGTTCTAACGATCCTGTTGGATTTGCCATTCGATTTTGGTCGTATGATCCGGTGATAAAACGTTCGTCCTCTTTACGTTTTGTGACTGCGCATTGATATTTAGTAAAAGACAAGGCGCCCATGGCTGGGTGGGAGTCGGGAACAACCTGGCCATAGGCAGACATCGGTGCTATACGATAACCTCGAGGGACACCCCATTTGTTTTTGTGCTCCTCGTTAACAACAGTCCAGATCTTGGGATTCGCATAACTAAGTTTGAGTCCTGCTTCTGTCGCCAACGTTTCCCATTCAACAAAACGTGTCTCGTTATACAGGTAGTACGGGGGTTTAAGTGTTATATTGTTGTTTTGAGTTTTTAAAGCATCGAGGACATTTCCGGCTTTCCAATGAATCACTTCAAATTTATTCTTTTTACCCAAGATGTCGAGATCGACCTTAAAACCAAAAGTGTGGTCATGCAGTGCACCATGCGTGTATTCTGACACTCTATAACCAAACGGATCTGTTGTTTTGTCATTACCAGCATGTGGATTTCCTTGGTCCCAAAAGCTTGCCTGGATGAACCCAGACGCCATCCCCGTGCTCTGCATTCGCCCATCTAAATAAAAGCGAAAATCTATAGTGTAGTCATAGTTGCCGACAGACATTGGAAACCTGGCGACAAGATATGTATTTCTCAGTCCAGCAGCAAATCTGTCCTTTCTTCTCCAAATTGCTTCTTGGCCATCCATTTCAAAGATACAAATTGCTTTCGCAGAGACAGATCGTTGAGCTCCCATGTTCCACCAAGCTGCATCGAGGAGTGTGGCGTGTTCAGGACAATCCACCCCTATGATGACATTCTGCCACTCTCCGAGACCAAAAGTCGCGTCCATGTACACAGTGTTTGCACCAGAACTAACATCGGATGCGTAGATCAAGCCAACATCATTTAATGAATTTTCATACACGATACGTTCACCCTTGAACTGGACATTCATCACTCCTGGGCCACGTAATTGACTCCCAAACACTGTAAACTCCCAGTCCATCCACTTCACTGTGTGATCGTGCACTGTGTAGCGTCGGCCAGCTGGTTCATACGTTCGTGGCGGTGCTTTGTTGGACATATCACGAGGTTTGTTGCCATCTTGTTTGGGAAAAGTGGTTTCAAACAAAGTCTGGCGGTGACCTCGAGGCATTGCAAACTTCCTTATGGTACCGTTTTGAAAAGCTTCAAGTAATTCTTCAGCCGTGCGGAAGGGTCCTTGATTCAAATAATAAAAATTGTAAGAATACCACTGAGATTTGTCTGTTCCAGGATTGCGCACGGTTCCAGTGAGTGGCAGAGGGTGTAAGTCACGACCACGTGCTGTACCGTCGACCAAAAGTGCCATGACAAACCGCGTCTCGCGCTCCTCGGGCAGCAATCCTGGCGGAGCCTGAGGATGGAAGGTCATACCGCCTTCAGGGTAATAAGCCCCGTCGAAACTTTCCATTAACAGTGGTCTGAGAATAGACATGGCTAAAGTGACTTGTTCAGTGATTCCATCCCATTCAATTCCATCTCTTGGGCGAGAATTATAGGGTAATTCACCATCGTTGTATAGAGCAGTGGCAGTCATGGCACCGCCGAGAGGGCCTACTCTGTATTCCATGATATCGGCGACGTTTCTATTTCCACGATGAACGTGGACGTCTGCGTAACGCCCAGGAGACGCCAAACCTTCATCTAAGTGTGAAATGGCTTCATCTTTGTTGGGAAGGTACAGCGATATGCTATAGATATAAGTATTCTGCAAACTTGGTGAACCGCTTGAAGGTCGCTGGTCAACTAACCCCTGCTGGACCATAAACTCATAAACTTCTTCCATCTCACTTGCAGTCACCATTTCAAATATCCCTCTAGAAGACGATGACTCAGACTGCGTAATTGGCGCACTTTGTGGGCACTTGAGTTCTTCCTTACACACGCCGTTACAAGCACTGGTTGGTGGTCTGGTGGACTGGGTGGTTGGTGGTCGCGTGCTGCCGGATGGCGTTGTTGCTCCATTCATGGTAGCCGAATTGGAAGCAGAGTTCCCAGTCGCTGATGTGCCCTCTCCTGGTGCCTTGTAGGCAAAATATCCAATCAAAAATCCTAGCCCAAGACCGAGTGCGAACACGATAATCCCGGTCAGAGCTGCGCAGTACAGTGAACGTGTAGACATTTTAGATGAATGCGAAGAACCTGGAGAAGCAAGATAGTACGGCGACTTTTTCTGGTCTGGTAAATTTTCATCAGATGCACCGGAGAACGCGGGATTTTCAAAGCTATGGCTCGTTGACATGGTATGCTTGCGTCTATTTTCTGTTTGTCCTGGAAATAATACGATCGACAAACTGAACACTTTTGAAGTAGATGAACCAGTCGACACAGGTTGTGTTGGGAAGGGTAGTCCGTTAAGAACCGTAGCCCTTTCCATTACTGTGTACAGATACCTAATACTGATCCCTTTATTTAAAAAAAGCATTTACTAGTCATATGGGGTTCAGGACTTCCGTTCCTTGGACAACCATTGCTCACACTGGTATGCTAACATGCAGTTCTGAAAGCATTTATTAATTCTGTGGAAATAGTTAAACAAAAAAATGAATTCAAGTATAAAAGACATGAAGGATGTCATTTGACAGGTTTTCTTCGCGATTAATTTTTGTACGGTTTTGTCATACGTTTTTGGCACACTTTTTATTACTGATCGGTGTTTGCTAATGTCACTGCAAGCAAACGTCAAAGCCATCGAGCGCAGCTGCAGGAGCCGATTTCACCAAAGAACTTAAGGCCGAAATTTGGCCTTTTTTATTTATCTGAAACTTGATTGCTTCAGTTCTTGATATAAATCATCAGTAGTCCGTGTGAATAAAATCGGTTTGCAAGACAAGCCATGTTTTTCATTTAAGGAAATTACTACACTACACTACATTTAAAGCGGGCAAATCATTCACAACACGCATTTACAACTTCTTGGAATAATCATGCAAAATCGGTTACCAATGTTTAAAAGTCATAGATGAGCTAAAAAATTATACTCTTATAACCCCCCCCCCCCTCCCCCATTCAGGTCAGGTTTAGGGGATACTTGCTGTTACAACACCGCATTTTGTAGGTTTTTGCCACACAAAAAAAGCGTTCAAGAATTTTGTTCTTGGATGCTTATCAGTAAATATATGCTGATACAAAATCACCCTGTTACTGCCATTCTCTTGCTTTTGTAAGGGCTAGGTACAGTGTGCAACTATTATTATAGAGCTGATGAACTTGTGTTTCACAAATAATCTTTAAAATCTACCACAATATTTGTCAATTGCAAGTTTGCAACCAGAGTTGCTTTTCCTGAGGTCATCATTAGACAGGTGTCATTTAAAGTGAGAGAAAAGGTAGCTGGTTGGACACGTGTACTAGTTATCTAGATCATATTACTGCTCAGTGTGATCCCAGGTCAACCGTGATATAACCATATAGCCAATTCCTACGGTAGCCACTTAACTTGTTTAAGCCCCCTTTACACTGGACGGCGTCCCTTTTGCGTCCAGCAGTTCGGCCCCATTTGAGAGTTAAAGAATTATAATACTTTACGTGCCGACAACTGGCAGATCATTGAGCATTCATTCTTATACCAAATCAATGCTCGTGCCTCCTTATTAAGACCACATCGATGCCAAATTTCATAGTCGCAGAAAGGACGCAGAAAGGACGCCGTCCAGTGTAAAGGGGGTATTAGTGGATCCTAGGGTAGGATAAAACTGTTCAAAAAGATAATCAAATATGATCTATCTAAAACATGTGGATTTTAAAATATATTCTAATTTAGCCATGAAGCAAGTATTTTATAATTAAAGGAATGTAGAGGTGCAATCGGTGGGTTATATCGCTTTAATGAAAATGGCAAACGACCAAAATGAAATTATTAAATAACAGCCGAAGCGGTCGTTCTATAAATAAAGATTTCAGTCTGAAAATACATTTCAGAACTAACATATCCATTTCAGTTAATTAATGGCTTTTTTCGTATTGTGTAGTATTTTTGTAGACTTATCCTTCTTGTTGACATGCAGCTACTACCCAAGATTTTTTCTTAGATGGGACAATAAAGAGGGAAAATGTTGTATTCGCGGTTTGCACTTTATCTCGAATACAATATTTTCCTGTTGTATTGTCGCACTGAAGCGTACGAAAATACCGGCGTGCGTGTAAGCGAAATACAAGTGTAATTTATCCTATTATTCGAAGCGCCGTCCTGACATAATTATAGGCACGTCGTAGAAAATGATAATTTCTATCTTCTCACTATTCATATACATGGCATGACTTTTCAGTAACTCGAACAAGTACTACTCAGATGCACAATTACCACTGACCTAACTATCAGAGCATCACTGAAAAGTCACGTCATGTATATAACAGTGAAAGGATAGAAAAAATGCCATTCTCTATGACGCCTTACACTAACAACACCCATTTTTGTGATTTATGGACTTTTTTAGTATTAAGGTTAAATTTAGATTTAACTTGTCCGGTTTCAGAGTTTTTCGTCCCTGCAATAAGAACAGGTTTTAATATGTTTTTCTACAGAATTTGAACATTATTTTTTTATTTGCAAAAATGCGATTATGGTTGAAAACACGATATATACTTCTGATAAAAAATATACAGTCGGCATGCAGTTACTGCGCACTTCTAATGCTATTGAAAAGAAAGGACAGCAAACAGTTCTTTTTAAAGGATGTTGAGAAAAGATAGTTTGAAAGGAAAAAGTCACCGTGGGATTTCACATTGTACAATAATGTTGGTAATTTCCTTTCTCAGTGGGGGAACTCTTCTCCCAATAATTAACCTAAAAACAGGCTCGATGTCTCCAAGGACTATTTGACGATATCTCTGTTCAATGAAAAAAAGGCAGTCCAGTCAAACCGTGAGCATTTGCACATTTATTTCACCGCGGAAATATCTGCTGACAATGACAAATTCTAGAGAAAAACAAAGGGTGGTCTTATAGACACACGTTATACAACATTTTAAACTTCAGTCAACAAAGCAGCGTGCATTGCGGGCACGTATTAAAGAACGCCTGTAAAGATACTTGATGATATATTACCACTTCATGGGACAAATGCCCTGATTTTACTGACAAACCGACTTCATAGGAAAAAATGTGACTTTATCCCCACACCACATAAGATATTGCCTGCGACTTCATGTTCTGTAGATATGAACTCACGGGTGAACTGGTGTGCCAACGGCTTTTCTATTGTGTTTGCATAACAAAGTATAGCAAAAAGCATTTCCAACAAACAGGGAAATGTAAAAGGCTCCAAAAATTAGCTGAAGAGCGATAAATCCTCTTTCATGTGATTAAATGCTTGTTGTAGAGTGTAAACGTAAATCCAAACAGTTTACCGCGCCCCCTACTCCAACTAAACTAAATTCATTTTACCTCGGATTTACACAATCACATTTTTTATCACCAGACCTTGTCACAAATTAAAAAGCAAATAGTGATGCATAGAAAAGTTGAAAGGTGAACTTAATTAGCAGACCAAGTCTTGCTTTTTCCTATGATATGACAAACGTCTTTTTTGTAGAAGACCACGTAGTACTGCTTTGCAATATACGCACGACACATATCGATGGCGATGCGTGACGAATCGTCAGGATAGAGACATCACTCGCAAGCACTGTGTATTTATACAGTCGCAGTGACATTAACTCGTATTTTGCCGTCGTATTTTTCACTATACACTTAGTCGATGCATTTTGAACATATTGTGTAGCTTACCTTCTTTTACTTGGTTTCAGGCCTTGATGAGTCAGTTGTGTTGTAGGTTTAAGAGCTACTTTGCTAAAGTATTTGTGTACGTACTACCTTAAGCGTGACAGAAACACAAATGAATTTCAGAGACATACTTGCCTTTCACACAGTCTGCATCGCGAGCATGGTAGAAATAAGAGAAATGTCCCAGCCCAAATCTTGACCGGTGTGGTAACTGTATTGTGTATGGGACAAATGGGAACCGGTCAATGGTACTAAACATACAATCTCTCTACAGGTGAGTCCATGAGTGACCACAAATGGGGAGAGTTTTTAAGTTAGGTTGCATTGTACGGGATTGTATGTAAATAATTTTTTAACTAAAATCCCATTAACTTAACGACTAAAAGTCCATATTCATCAAATATAACATATTAAACCCGGAAGGATGGGGAACCGCTTAAGAAGGGAATGAAAATCTATCTTAAACAAGTACTCGCTATTTTCTGATGACATATAAGGCATTTGGGCGATTCCATTACATAGGTAAGGTGAGTGCACACTTGAGGTTAGAAAAACATCCATAATAACCATGCGGAACTCAAGGCTTCTTTTTAACTATTTGGACAAATATCTTGCTTTCTAAAGTAGGCCCTATTGGATAAAAAAAAATGTACTTTTACATATCATTTTCTCGAAACATCAAACCCAGCGCACACTGTAGGCATGGACAAAATTACGAAGGGTACCATCTGAGTTGCCGCATTGTGAAGGCTGTGGTGAGCAATTCACTGTGTTTAAAATAAGCCACAGCCTCTCGGAAATAAAAGACAAGTAAATAAGTGGCGTTGTTTTAAGTACATATGTATCTATCGCGCACCTTTACAGTTGTAAAGCGTACCAACAATGACGCACGCCGTCTGTTTCCTAGACACTGTGCATAGCAGTGGTTATACGCCTTCTACATTGTAGATTCTTTTAAACTATATTTTGTAACAAAGGCAGGACTATTTGAAGGGGGATTTCACGGGTCCGGGGGTCCGGTTGGCGTGGGCTTCGGGTCCCGCTGAAGGGCCCCGAAAATTTTCGGTAGGGGAGACCGGGGCTAGTTGGCCCAGTTAGACACTTTTGGCCTTGTAGAGCCAACTAGGAGTGGGTTAGAGTAACAAAACCGTTTTCAAAGTAAGCCCCATGAACTAAGCTACGTATGCAACGTCATTATTTTTCAAATATAATGCCAGGTGGCTCACAATTTGACAAAAAGCGCAGTTGACGTTAGGGGGGGGCAACTTGCCCCGCCATGGGGCAAGTTGGCCCCAGGGTCGGGGCAAGTTGGCCCCCCTATACGAAAATGAAGTATATATCCCATGTAAACGCCTTGAAATACATTTTTATAATTTTTTTATATATT